AACCCAACAACAAATTGGCAGTATTTGGCCACAGCCTTTAATATTATTTAAATTTATACATATTGTATATAAGTAATCTCAATGTATGTATGTGCCACAGATCGCTGGAAATTTAACTGTCACTGGTATATCTGAAAACATGAGGTTACCGGCATATCGCTGAATATGGAAACCGTACTATAAATATATATATAAATGACTACCACAGATTGTGTTTACTGAATATAAGATTAAAACAATTTGGATCACCATGGAAACACAGGTGATGGATTAAAACCCTTACATTTTTCATCTATAGTGAATGATACTATTTATAAAATCATAAGGTTTTTTAATGCAGCGATTTCTGCCAAAATGGGGGTTCGCTGCCAAGCTGTGTGCCAAATACACATACCAATAAATAAAACATTTCAAACTTAAATTATAAAGTGGTCAATAACTGTAAAATTAAAAATCATTTTTATGCAATTTAAACTATACAAGCTGGATAACTAATCATACATATATTTTTATATCCAACTTCTGTTTCAGTAGTAGAAAATATATACTTACCAATTGCCTTATGCACTAGCAACAAATCCACCGTATGTCGATATAAGAAAATTCCAAAAGAACATAGTGTGTAAAGTTTGCAATATTTTAGATGATGAGGAACACATTTTCCTTCATTGCCAAATCAACAGTAATATTAGAAATCCTCTTATAAATACAATTAAAACCCATTTTCCTACTTTTAACCAACTCGACTCAAAATGTAAACTATTTTAGATCCTAATAAAAATATGTTGTCTAGTGTTGTGGGCTATATAAAGCAATCCATGGAAAATAAGGTCCACTTTGGTCAATTATCTATATACTTATGTATATTATTAATATTAACTTGACTTGTTTAGAACTGTTTTCATGTTTTGTATGTTTCTTGTGTACATGTCAATTATGTTTGCATTTTAACCCGTCAGGGTTTTACTTTTTGCAATAAAGTTATGTATTAAAAAAAAATATTGTTTCTAACAAATGACAGATGTACCCCATCGATTTAATATCTTTTCACTTTTGGAACTGTCTCACAATTTCCAACAACCAAATCTTGACAGGTTTACCTACACAACTCTTTGTTACATTTAATTTTAATTTAATTCTTATTTGTGGAGGAAAACTATCGAATTGTTTACTCAAATGAGATCTTAACTAGACTCAAGCTGGCAGCAGCCACTTTTAGCAGCCAATCAAGATAGCAGACACTTTTTTCCAGCAGCCAAGTTTTAATGATATGTTTAAAAACCAAAAAACTGTATAAGACTAAAACGTTCTCAATATCTTACTTAAATATAATAGCACCTCCTTTGACAGCGTGACGAATAGCCTCGGTCAACACCTTTCAAATGAGCTAGGTCTGGTTCGGAACTTTGCCGTAGGGATATGCCGAGGAGTACCGAATGTGTGGTTGATATGAAAAATACGTTCAGGTAGGACTTTGAACCTCTGTGGTGTCCAGACGGGAACGGATCCCGGAAATTATTTGAGTGACGAATTGCCTCTGTCAACACCTTTCAAATGAGCTAGGTCTGGTTTGGAACTTTTCCGTAGGGATATGCCGAGGAGAACCGAATGTGTGGTTGGTATGATAAATACGTTCAGGTAGGACTTTGAAACCCTGTGGTGTCCAGACTGGCCCGGATCCCAGAAAAATATTTGAGTGACGAATAGCCTCAGTCAACACCTTTCAAATGAGCTAGGTCTGGTTCGGAACTTTGCCGTAGGGATATGCCGAGGAGTACCGAATGTGTGGTTGATATGAAAAATACGTTCAGGTAGGATTTTGAACCCCATGTGGTGTCCAGACGGGCCCGAACCCAGAAAAATATTTGAGTGACGAATGGCCTCGGTCAACATCTTTCAAATGAGCTAGGTCTGGTTCGGAACTTTGCCGTAGGGATATGCCGAGGAGTACCGAATGTGTGGTTGATATGAAAAATACGTTAAGGTAGGACTTTGACTCCCTGAGGTGTCCACACGGGCCCGGAACCCAGAAAAATATTTAAGTGACGAATAGCCTCGGTCAACACCTTTAAAATGAGATTGGTCTGGTTCGGAACTTTGCCGTAGGGATATGCCGAGGAGAACCGAATGTGTTGTTAATTGGTAATCACCATAAAACTAGATAACATATTTCATTTGGTGCTTAGGAAGTTTTTGGCATCATCATATTACTGCAATCACGCTTCTTGCTAATTACACAACCAATCATAACAACCTATACAGTTGCCCAAAATACAACCATCTGCAAAACAGATTGTTTTTTAGCTGTTTTACGTGAAAACAAATTATATAGTCAATATAAGGTTGAAGAAACACAATTTAAAAATGCAATAATTTATGAAGGCAATAATACACGCGGGATATATGCTTTTAATGGGAATTTAGGGAGCTAATTCAAATTTCAATATGTAGTTGAGGTGTCAGCCTGTTAAACACTCTTTTGTCATTTCTTGTTATTATGGCACCCTCAACGGAGCTGGAGTGACATATTGTTATTCTACGTTTCTTGTTTTCTTATTGTGGCACCCTCAACGGAGTTGGGGTGACATATTGTTATTCTACGTTTCTTTTTTTCTTATTTTTATTTTTCTTCCACTTTTTTTGTCCAGCTTATATCTTGGAATTGTATGAACCAATTGTAATGGAACTAAACCATAATGTTTACCAGCATGTGCAGATTTGCAATCGGATTATGGGATTTTCAAGATGGCTACCGTTGCCATGGAAACTGCTAAAATGCAAAACAAAATCAAAATTCTAAATCTTTTATTATAAGACCTAACTGGATGAAACTTTATGGAAGTGTTACCTGATATGCCCAGATGTGCTGACAATATTTAGAAGTTCCAAAATGGCTGTCATTGTCATGGAAACAGGGCGAAAGTTTAACATTGACCCTATGGTAAAACACATTAAAGCTGCATTTTCTTAAAGAATATTAGATCAAACCAAATGAAACTTTATGGATACGTAACATGGCATGTCCCAAAGTGACACCTGTCTTTGGAATTTTGGAAAAGGTCACTGTTACCATGGAAACAGCAAATATTTTAAAAATTTCAAAATGCTCCAAACTTTATGAAACTTTACATTAATGTTTATTGGCATGTGTACATGCCCTGTTCGACTTTGGAATTCAAAATGGCTGCCGTTCGCCTGGCAATGGGGGACGAGGGTGCCATCTGTTATTGCTAGCAATTACAAATCTAGTTATTATGGCACCCTCAACGGAGTTGGGGTGACGTATTGATATTCTACGTTTCTTTTTTTTCTTATTATTATTTTTCTTCCACACATTTTGTTCGCGCGATTTCTCGAAATCCAATGGACCAATGTTGATGGAACTCTACTATATTGAGGACCCCCATGTGAAGTTGTGCGCGAAGCATGGAATGGTTCAAGATGGTGACCGTTTCCATGGAAACTGCTAAAATGTGAAAAATTTTCAAAATTCTAAATCCTTCATTATAAGACCCAAGTAGATGAAACTTTATGGAAGTGTTACCTGATATGCCTAGATGTGCATGCAATATTAAGAAGTTCCAAAATGGCCACCATTGTCATGGAAACAGGGCAAAAGTTTAACATTGAGCCTATGGAAAAATACATAAAAGCTGCATTTTCTGAAAGAATATTACATAGAGATCAATGAAACTGTATTGATATGTAACATGGAATGTGCCAATGTGGCGTCTGCTTTTGGAATTTTGGAAATATCTATCGTTACCATGGAAACATCAAAAATTTCAAAAAATTTGAAATGCTCCAAACTTTTTGAAAATTTACAGTAATGATAACTGGCATATGTAGATAAGATATTCCACTTTGGAATTTCCAAAATGGCCGCCGTTACCATGGAAACAGCAAAAATTTCAAAAATTTCAAAATCCTCAAACAAATTTCTTTCGTTCCATGCACAGAAATACAAATAGTGAGGTGCTCATAGTGACTAGTCTTGCAATCTCCGTGTTAATGTCTTTCTTTCCGTACAATGTGAACAATTTAAAGAGAAATTAAACAAATTCGAGGCAAGGTTTCACTCAATTCACCATTTTTGATGCGCCTTTTTACTTATTTCTCCGTACCGGATATTAGATACTATTGAGTCCAAACATTTTTTGCCGGGGTAGTTTAGACACAGCGAAGATGTCCAGAAACTATAATTATTAGGGTAGAATATTATATAATATAATGACTGATAGGTTACGGTTACAGATATTGCTATCTTAGATCCCAGGAGACCCGTCACATATGTTAAAATATCCATTTGGAAAAACACAAATCAAACAATGTTAATTAGATAACACAATGACGATTTAATGAGAAACAATCATATATGGAAACAATACCGCTTTCATAACTCTGTTTGCCTATTCAGTCACCGATTATTTTGACTATTTTTCAAGAATGTCAATTGTACTTTAACCCTGTGTAGCATCACCACCGGATATCGTACATCCGGAGCAAAGAAACAATAATATTATAGCTAATAGTATCTTTTCCAATCCCCGTACAATAAACAACTAACTATTCGCCGTACAATTTATCCGCTTTATTTACATGAATTTCTTAGTGTAAACAATAGTTCATTTCGAAATACAGTGTTATTCAAGCTTAAATATGATATACCTTTGTAGTACGAAAACGTCAAATGAATACTTAAAAGATAAATGTGTTTTGAACTCGTCACAACTCGTTGAACAGGTACCCCCCACCTATCCTAGTCTGACGATTTGAAGAGAGAGACAGCCAATTAAGGATCATAATCAGCCCTAAATAGTAGCTACACTATCAGGAATCACTATCACAAAATTTGTATTTCTTAACGAAACGTAGAATAAAATAAAAATAAGAAGAATTTGACAGGACTTCACATTTGTTTTTTCCACCACTTCGGGGGTACATGTACCTTAATCCGGTGGTGATGCTACACACTTCTTAATATGATGTTTTTATTTTAGACCGGGTAATCTTTATGTTCGTAACACTGACATGTTTATTGGCACACAGTATAAAAAGACTGTGTACAGGGAGTTCTATGATGCATCATTCTCAAGACAGGTACAGCGTACAGAAAAAGATAACCATCTCGGAATACTCGGGCCTTTCATTAAGGCAGCAGTTGGAGACGTCATTGAAGTATTTTTCAAAAATATGGCGTCTTTTGATAATTCTATATACTTGAAGAATCTACCACTGGATAATGAAATGTCTAAAGAGTTAAGAAATGGTGTAAAACCAGGAGATATGAAAATTTACAGATGGCGAGTTCCAGAAAGATCCGGTCCTGGCAGAAATGAGCCTAACTGTGTTGGATATTCTTATAATTCGCCTGTTTACCCGAATAAGGATATTGCAACGGGTCTGATTGGACCGCTACTTATTTGTAAAAGAGGTGTTTTGGATGTTTACGGCAACAGAATGGACAAAACAAATAGAGAATTTGCGTTAGCTTTTGTTATATTCAATGAAGCTAATAGCCATTACTTTGACGAGAATGTACGAATGAGAGCACCAAATAGAACGAATCTGGATGACGCAACTTTCCAACAATCTAATAATAAGTTTAGTATTAATGGATTTATTTTTTCTAACATACCGAACCTAGACATGGTAGTAGGTGATACAATAGCATGGTACACGTACTCATTTGGTTCCTCCCAAGGTGCACATTCAAATCATTTTCATGGACAAACTTTTATAAAAACTTCGGCATTATCTTTCCGGGATGATGTGGTTGGTGTTGTTCCAGGATCCTATGAAACTGTGGAAATGTTTGCAGATAACCCAGGAACGTGGTTTGTCCATTGTCATTTAGGAGTACATATGTCTGCTGGTATGCTAGGCACGTACACGATTTTACCAAGGAATCACAGAGGCCCTTATCGAGTAGGTCCTCGAATGTTACGTAGACCACATATAGGCAGAGCACTAAGGAGACGGATTAAAGTTAGACGAAGATAATATTAATGTTAATCAATAAATTTGGTGTTTGTAGTTTGTTTTAACGAATATAATCTTAGGATGTTAAACTGATTCTCATTTCGTTCAAAAATGTGATATACACAGTGCACATGTGCGTAATGTTTATTTATGTGCACATCCTACTTTACCTCAGTTGTCAAATGCTTCCCGCCGAGCTTCCATATTTAATTGTATCATAAATTGTCAAAATTACCCGTGCGTGTAAACTTAATATAGACATTAATACTGCACTCGTTCTATTTGAGCAGTCAAAATGCGTTGACTGTATATATTTCTATGTCATATACAGTCACTGACCCGATATCACTTTTCCTCATGAATATTTAAATAGTAGTTGCCGGAACTATATTTAATTATTCACTATGACGACCTCGTTTTCAATGTAAACAACGACATGAACGAAGCGTGGAACGACTCAAACTTTTTTCTTTTACAATTGTTGGAAAAACGTATTTCACTTGTTAATATTTTTGGTTTAAATCCTATAAATCATTATGTTTTATGCTTATTGCTGATATTTTAGTCCATATCCAAACGAATTCGTTCACCATCGGATTGGTTTCCAAAGATCACATGTATTATAATATTACTCCGCCAGATATGAGGCCCTTTTAAAAGGGGGGGGGGGTATATTTAAATCAAATATATAACAATAACACAATAAACAAAAGTTGAGTTTTTTTTTCTAGATTGCAGTATAAAGACAATAATAGTGTATTGACTTCAAGTTGACATATCAACGATATACGGATTCGGCCCGAAACGAGGAAAAAGCTCGGCAGAGCCTCGCATTCCCTGTTTCTAAGCCTCATCCTTATTTCGTTGATCGTCGAGTCAATACATTATTATTGTCTATAAAGAGATGTGGTATGATTGTCAATGAAACAAATATTTAGTAAACCAGTGACCCTTATTTCTAGTGAGTCAAACGATTTACTGATGCCAATAGTCGAATGTTATCAGGTTTGATTGTTGTTTGCTTAACTTCTAGTGACAAATATGTCTTGCATATTCAAGACGGACAAATTAACAGTAATTCATATATATATTGTGCAGTGTTGGTCGACGAGGATGGAGTGTGGGACTTTCGACGACAGCTGGGAAAAGTAAGGCATGATACACAGGTGCAGAAATTTTGTCTGTCAACAGACAACCTATGGACCCCTGAAAGACTTGTTGATAGAGTTCTTCAACGTGTATGCAGAGTGTAACACTCTCCCTAAAAAAGGCATGGGATTAAACGTCCATATATTACTACTGCGTATTTATACATCACAAACAGTCATACAGACGCTCCTCTTAAACCAGTTTATTACTAAAGGGTGGAAAAAATCCAGGCATGACCATATTTCTAGACCCCTTTATTTGGAATGTTAACAAATATTAATAATAAAGCCATAGTAGGTTGTGCTGGGTTGGCAGGAATGAAGGGCAGGACATTTGGACAACCATCTAAAAAAATATATGTTTGATAGGGACAGAAATATTTCCCTGCGACAGATCCACGTATGAACACCACGAAAAGTTGTTGCAATCTATAACGTATTGAAAGCATACAACTCTCATACATACGGCATTTGACATCTATGTGTATAGAATACAACACTGTGCAGGACAAATTTGCCATTCCAGAATTGGCAAATCTGACTTTGTTGTTTTACAAGATATCAAAAATAGTTTTTGGTCAGGTGAAAGATAATAAAAAAAAAATAAGTTTCCCCATATGTCCCAACATGTCACTGTTGTCACTGTTGTCACTACAGCTGATTAAAAGTACATTTTCCATTGGAAATTTAAAAATTCCCATGGGAATATTAGAAGTTCCCATGGGAAAATTTAAAGTTCCCATCGGAAAAAGTACTTTTCCCATGGGAATTTTAAACTTCCCATCGGAACTTTAAAGTTACCATGGGAACATTAGTAAATAGTTTGTTCCCATGGGAATTCAACTTTACCTATGGGAACAATTGATCTTCCCATGGGAACAGTTTTTCTTTCCATGGGAACAATTTTTCTTCCTATGGGAACAATTTCTCTTCCCATTGGAACATTAATTTTACAACGGGAAAATTTTTTCATTTTGACTGGTTTTTCTCCTAGAACATTGTAGAAGAATTAAAATGTTTTGAAAATACAGGATTTATGTTAAATTATTGCAGATGCAGGTTTTCTACAAAATATCAATATGGTTTCGTATCTAAAGTTGCACTCAAAATGCAACTTCCATAAAACTCTGATTATTCAGTAAGATATGAAGCAATGATAAGTAAGTTTTTAAATTTTAAAATCAGTTCACATCTTTCTAGTGGCGAAAAACACGCATATCGAGTTAAGTAGATGAAAAAAAAATAAGTATATTAATAATAATTATGATGTCAGTTTCATAAATTCAAAGATAATAAAAAGAAAACAACCTTAAACACGATTCGTGATTTCCCATGTATATAAAGTAAAACAGATATATTATATTAAATTCTGAAATACACAGGCATGGCTCTGTTCCTTGGCAGTTCAGCGAACAGTATTACATGAAATGCACGATGCTATAAACGGAAAACAAAGGTAAAAGATTCAAATTGTAAAATTAGCCGCTGGACGTTAAAAAGTAACCAATCAATAAACGACGATACATTACAATCAATGTGTTTCTATCAATCATTTCATGTTAATAAAAGACTTTTGAATGTAAAAGTATGATAGAAATACCTTTAATTTATTGTAGTTACATATTTTTTTTTGTCAAATGAAAATTTTTATAAAATGCTACTGGTTATTATTAGTAACCGTCAGTTTATTGCGATATTTCATAGCTCTTTTACAAATTCCGAAACAATAATAAAGGAAAAATAAATGTTCCCATTGGAAAAATATATGTTCCCATGGGAAGAATAAATGTTCCCTAGGGAACAAAAAATCCCTTAAGAAATTTAGAATTTCCCATGGGAAGAAACTATTTACTAAAGTACTTGTTCCGATGGGAACTTTAAATTTTCCAATGGGAATTTTTAAATTTCCCATGGGAAATGTACTTTTAATCAGCTGTAGTGACAACAGTGACAACAGTGACATGTTGGGACATATGGGAAAATTATTTTTTTTTAATTATCTATCAGGCCAAAAAATATTTTTGTTATCTTGTAAAACAACAAAGTCAGATTTGCCAATTCTGGAATGGAAAATTTGTCCTGCACAGTGTTATACGTTCATCCTGCTTAGCAAAATGAACACCCAACTCCCTCCCTCGGTATGTGTTTTACTGTCGCAAGGGAGAAGAGGTGACCATGCATATTTCTTTATCATAGTCCACCCTTGGGATATTTTAATGTAGGATATATATATATATATATATATAAATAAAAAGATCTAGATAATCATAATTGTAAAAGATTACATTTTGCAGTCGATCAAAATTATTAATTGAAAACTGTGCTTGACATACTCGAGCCAACGCCTATCATTTATACAAAAACAATCAAAGTTGACATTCATGTTATGAGACAGCAACCAAACGGCACAAAACCCAATAGACATAAGTGGTAATTGCGTTCAGTTTCTTTTAAACTCTTTAAACCTCTTAAACTTTTCTGCAATCTCGTTAAAATGGGAAAGCAATTGTCAAATATTTGTAAAATATCCTCACCCCATTTTAGCACACAACAGATGTTATGATATTAAACCTACTTCTGATACTTATGTTCTCTGTGTAATTCTGAGAATGTCATTCAGTCATCATCAATCTTTGTTCTTGCTACTCCTGGATTAACAACATGTTTATAAGGACGTAACTGTGACGTTAAGACGAAGAACAACAATCAAAAGGAAGTTTTTGATGCCCCCTTCCCGCGAAAAATGACATATTTATATTGATTTACCCCTGTAGGATATAGATACATGGTTTGTCCACCTATCTCCTGTAGTTTGTGAGCTACAGCTTTAATATTTTGTACAATGTTTTTACACGTAATAGAGGTGTGCATGTCTACAGGATTTTGATTTTTTTCAAATCTTCTCAAAATGCAAAGGTATTTGGTACTAGCTGCATAAAAAGATCTTGTTTTGTCCGGCTATCACCTACAGTTTTTCAAGCTACAGCTTTAATATTTTGTAGAGGTTGCTCGTACACATAAGGAAAGTGTGCATGTCTACAGGATTTTTTTCAAATATTCTCAAAATGCAAGATATTTGGACTTGGTCATTTTTTGTACTAAAAGTCAGAAAGGGGGGATGTTAGATATTCACAAAAACCGGTAGTTGGACTTCATTTCCTTCTTACTTGCTAAACAATTGAAAACATGGTTTGTACTACTACAGTTTATCCCAGACAACAAATTGGCAGTATTTGGCCACAGCCTTTAATATTATTTAAATTTATAGATATTGTATATAAGTAATCTCAATGTATGTATGTGCCAGAGATCGCTGTCAATTTAACTGTTACTGGTATATCTGAAAATATGAGGTTACCGGCATATCGCTAAATATGGCAACCGTACTGTCAAATATATATAAATGACTACCACAGATTGTGGTAACTGAATATAAGATTAAAACCATTTGGATCACCATGGGAACACATGTGATGGATCAAAACCCTTGCATTGTTCACTGTAGCGAATCATACTATTTATAAAACGAAAGGTTTTTTGATGCAGCGAATTCTGCAAATCCGAGTACATTTGTAAATCAGTCTTTGAGGACAGTTCTTTTTACATCAATCAGAATTTTTCATCTTTCCATTTCGCAAAATACATGTAGACGTCTAGAAATGTCAACTCAAATATCACCTGAAAAGATAACATAAACCAAAGCAGTTTCTAAATCTAATTATATTTACAAAGAATGCTAAATTTTTTCATTGCATTTTCAGTATCAGTAACAAATTTGTTTACTGATATTCTCAAGTATTGACGCTTTCTTCTTGCATTAAATTCATATTTCAAAGATTCGATATCATTTATTTTATCTTACTCCTTTAAATTTAGATTTGGTGTAAGGAGTCTTAGGGCATGACA